TATATATATATAACTCTTGGGTTTATTTTGCGCAGTTTTAGATTTGGCATCAACAAGACTTGCAGTTGGATCACAACTGATGTAGAGCTACAGAAAGAACATCTATTGGGACAAGCTGATACGCAGGATATCAACTCCTCCATAGATTTTCCGGCTGTGAGCGAGTATTATGCAGTCAGTACTGAATGCTCGCACTTGTTTTCCTTTCTTTTTTGGCCGTTTGCTCAAATGTTCTTGCTTCGTTAAAGTGTGTAAATGTTTTTTCGCTTCGAGACCAAACAAAAAAAAAGAAACAAATTTCTTTAGCTTCCACTTGAAATTTGCTTATTTGTGTATCCGTAGCTCTAGCTGTGGCTGTGCTTGGGCTGTTGACATTGGTTTCGAGTTTACAAAGAAATCGATTAAACGCAATCGAGTAAATGACCCAAAGTGCCGTCCAGCCAGCCAGTCAGCCCTTATGTCCAGGCCCAAGGTCGATTCTCGTAAGACTCTTAAACTTGTTAAGCACATTAAATGCAAATAAACAAAACATTTTACTAGAAATACAATAGCTAAAAGTCTACCACGTCTTGTCCCTCAAGTAATAAACTAAGAGTTTCGTTCACATAAATCACTTTGTAGACAAATCAAGTCTCGTCTCGTCTCGTCTCCTCTTCCCGAAAAACGTACGTTTAAAGTACCTAATTTTTATGATGTACCAAAAAAACCCCATTTCAGAGCTCGAGTTTCATGTGTTGTTCGCTTCCACGCAGTTGATTCAAATGGAATCCTCGATCTATTTGAAATTGATGTAGTCTTTGGATTCGATTAACAGTCGAAGACCTATTTAAAGAGCTGCATCTATTTGAATTAGTCAACAGCTTAAGGAACTCACAGCTCTGTGATGCATGTTGGACTTTGTTATGAATCAATCAAAGGCCAAACTAAATGAAAGCCCCAAATAAATATAAAAACTTTTCTGATTGAAAACTACAAATTTAACGATATTCAAATTACTTTTCGATCAAATAGCTTTGAGCTGTAAATTCTAAGCTCTAAATGCAGTTGTTAGGCTGAGCGTAGAAGACGTGTTATATATATATATATAAACTGTATATATTCTTGATCTAAAACATGAGACAACTTGATTTGGCTTTGTTGCAGTGCTCGACTCTCCTTTGCCCTTTTGTCTGTCTGTGTTTACACTCGCCCGCCTGGTAATCTATGAGACATAGCTGCTGGCACGCGGTTTCTATAGCACTTACAGTTCTAAAATCAGGAACCTTTCGCAATTTAAAGATATGAATGAAAATTCACATTGAATTTAATTTTTTGCATTTGGAGTCTGAGAAGAGTTCTTTCAACAGATTGAAATTAATTAAAAGTTTTAAATAATAAAACTTAAGTTAAAATATATAAATATTGTTTTTGTAAAAGCACACGAATGCTGAAAATTCCTTAATGAAATAGAAATTCATATATAATCGCATAAAGTAAAAAGACTTTCGGATTACCATAGGAGACATTCAGATGATACTGATGATGAAAGGTCCTCTTCATGGGCATCATTCCTGGCTTGACTATACATGCATACATAATCTATCTAGCTATCATAATTATATATTTTTGTATTTCATTTCGAGTCAGTTCATAGTATCTGCCAGTTATGTGCGCCTGACTCTAATAATTATTATGGTATTTTTTATCAGATAATGATTTGCCGCTTGGCACTTTTATTTAATTGTATTATTATTAGAAAGCCCTCAAAACTAAGCCAGCATATTATGATTAATCGCATTAGTATCTATTAAATTGTGAGCTTAACTATGTTGTCGTCTTCTTCTTCACTTTGGCGCAGCTTAGGCATTCGTGATCAATGGATTTCGAGTGGTTTCCGACTCACGTTTTTCATGATGATTAAAAACGTTGTTCAACATTTGGAATCGATTCAGTTTGTGTTTCGGTTCTTTGGGCATTTGTCGCATTTACCTTTAAAAGGTGTATAATAATTTATTCCGATTTTAATTATTGCTTTGTTGACTGCGTTCTGGTCGGCTTCGCTTTGACTTTGATTTTCTTGCGGAGGTTTTTCTTGAAACAGTTTCCTTCTCTTTCGTTTTATATTTTATGAATGTGGAGAGACAAATCGGCGTCATCAAAATTTGAAAACGTGTTTCGATTTGCATAGAAATTCCACTTGTTATCTCCCTCTCCCTCTCTCTCTCTCTCTCACTCTTTGGCGGCCATCATCATTGCCCACGTTTTGAAAATTGTTTTTTTGATTGGATGCGTTTCATGATGATAAACGACATTGGGTCTGGGAAATATTTTGTTGGGGTCTAGACGATGTGTCTATAAGGAGATGCAGCGTCTAAGCTCTTTTACTTTTCCCGTTTCGGTTGGTATTTTGTTGGTATTTTATATGGATTTATATACAGTTCGCCAATTTAGCTTGCAGCCTACAAAGCATTCGATTCAAGGGGCGCGCGAGAAGGAGAGATGAGTTGAGCTGAGAGAGGGTTAGTTATTAGTTGATCCCTAATGCCGGGGATTTTGAAATATATTTTTCGGGGTGGTGAAGTTTTGTTGTTATTGTTTTTGCTCTCGTTGTTTGTTATCATTTCATTTCATTTCAATTTTTTTATATTCAATGTGAAACCATTTTGAAATTTGTCTAAAGTCGTGTAACTGTTGATGTTGTTGTTGCTTTTATAAGGTATTCTCTTTTTTTAGTAATTCATAAACTCACGCAGCGGGCAGATGTTCCGCACGAATACTTTCAGATTATATGGGAGAGGGTTGTGCCTACTATGTATGCCTCTATACATATGTATGTATGCGCTTATGTATATGTATGTATCTAGAAGATACGCACGTATTTATCTACAAATGAAATGCAATTGGTGGCATGCATAATTCATGCCACAAACTGCATCAGTGTGTGGCATTTGAGCCAAAGGGGTTCCCGCATGGAATTCGAGTTGTTAAATATGCGAACGAATTGAAATTAAGAAATTAGATGATCGAAACATAAACTTCAATTGTAAATGGTAATAAAATAAGTAAACAATCTTAAAATGAAAATCCCAAATAAAGATAACTGTTAAAGGCTGCTCCTAACTGTTTAAATTGGGTTTGATTCAGATTCACCAATTGAAATTCATTCATTACCGACGGCATTTTGTTTTCGCAATGGCTGCTAAAGGACCAACGGTAAAGTATTAGAAGCAGCTGAAAAAAAAACCTAAGAATACATAAGTAAATAAAGAATAACCTACACACACATACACATATGCACAAGCTCACTATATTACACACACAGACGCACACAAAAATATGATTGAGCGCTGCCAACGTTGAGAATAATATAAGAAAAGAAATGAGAGATTCGCTGCGACGCGCCGCGCAGCGACGATAGCAGCGTTTCACATTTCGTTCACATTTTCCGTTATGCTCCGCCTAAAGTTGTCATAATTTGTTTTTGCTTTTACATTGCGTTTTATTTATTTGTCGATGGCTCAGCGGCAACAACGACAATGACGCTGCGCAAAAACAAACTTAGCGCTGCGCTGCCCCGAAGATGACGTTGTCTGGTGTCGGACAGTTTTTCGTTTGCTGCCCACTGCTTGGGGGTATCGATTTGTGCGCCGTCGGCTCTTGCGAGTGCTCGGCAGCCGGCAAGAGAGAAGAGCCCACACTCACACACTCATACAGTCACACACGCACACACACACACTGGCAAGCGAGTCTCTTTTTGATTTATGGCATTCGCTGAGGCACATACACATGCATTTACACACACACACGTTCGCATACAATCCAAGACCTTTCATAAATGGCAGCAATGCGTGCGTTAGAGGAGCACAACTAATGTGTTGCCAGCTTAACAGCCGCAGTCACTGTTAACTACGCAGAATAGCAGAGTGTTAACAGTCTTATACGGCTATTCCCCGCCATTTCGAAAATGTTGCACGCACTTTTACATGCAATGCTCACTCTCTTGCTCGCTCTCTCGCTGCTGTTACTGCCACTGTTGTTGCTGCTGCCATCTAAGCTTTTGCAATGCCGAACACGAAAATCTGCCCCCAACGGATAGCGACACTTCGATTCGCTGCTGCTGCGCTGCTGCTGCGTTGCTGCGTTGTCTCGTTGCCGTTTCTCGTTTTTCTTGCTGCGCCGCACGCTCGTTAAATCCATAAAGGACATTCTCTGCTTCGGCTCCAGTCACGGCCAACGCCACGGCCAACGGCAGCGCCAACGACAGCGCCAGTTCAGCGTTCAGTTCAGGCAGCCAGCGAGGCAGGCAGCAGGCAACAGCCGCCACTTCTTGGCTTTTGGTCAGCCGCCTTAGAGCCTCCAGTTGACAGTGTCGCCCCGTTGCCCGTGGCCCGTGGCCAGTTTACAGCTAATTTGCCATTCACACAATCACAACAAATTATTGTTGCCAAAAAAAAAAACAACAACAACAACAACAACAGCAGCAGCAGCAACAACAAAAATACAATTTTTGACAGCTACAGCAGCGGTCGCAGTCGCAGCAGCAGCAGCACCAGCCGCCCACTGGCTAGTTAACGGTTTTTATTACCGCCGCCGCCGTCGTCGTCGTCGCCGTCGTCGCCGTCGACGCAGCTCACGCACGTTACTTATTTATTTTCTTCTCCCGCCTCATCTCCAGCTTAAGTGCGTGTGCGTGTGTGTGTGTGTGTGCGTATGTGAGCCTGCGTCTCTGTGCGTGTGTGTGTGAGTGAGTGCGTGTGCGTGTGCTTGTGCCTGTGTGAGTGTGAGTGCGAGTGTGTGCGTGTGTGGGTGTGAGCGCTCCATCGCCCTGCCGTGTCATGTGGCAAAAGTGCGCGGGGGGTCGCCGTCGAAGGTTTTGTGGTCGCGTGTGTTTAATTAATCATAAAATAAAATAAAACAAAACAAAAATACAAAAATACAACAAAATGCAAATGGCAAACGCAGCAGCAACAACAAAAGCAAAAACAAAAACAAAAACAATTTAAATATGTGCAATAAAATTTGTTGAATAAAAAGCGAAAAACGCCCGAAACGTGAAGTGAAGCAAAGACAACAAAATAAAGTCCAGCAAAAGGGACTAAGACGAAGAAGGAGCAGCAGAAGAGATTCGTCAAGCAAATCCTGCCGACGGCAAAAACAAAGTGTTTGGAAAATGTTTACCAAAAGTGGATAAAATCTGAAAACTGAAATGAATTAACTGAAGTGAGTATGAACCAAAAAAAGGCTAAACTAACGGCTGAAAAGTAGCTAAAAGTTAAGCTAAATAGCAAAAGGGAAAATATTAATTTTATGCTCAATTTACAACTGAATTCGGTCTAAGCAAGCGGAATGCACATATAATTACATAAAGTAGTTAAGTTAAATAAATTTAATTTCATTTAAACTAGTTAAATAAATTTAGCTAGACTTTAAGCAACTTTGTTTAATCAGAATTAATTGAGAATCAATTTTTAGTTTTACTTTTTCAGTGTTACCTAAAAGTTTTCTGCATTCAGCTCAAATTTTGAGCTCAGAGTGGACCAAAATTCAATGAAGAAGAATTTTATAAAACTCAAACAGAAATGTTCTGAAAGAAAAAACAATTAAAAACAATGCTGTGGGCTATGCTCGACTAAATGACACCCGTTCCCAGCTCAATTATTTAGATTTGTAAACGAAGTCGATATTAGATCTAACTATGGAGCAGCTCAACACTGATCCAATTGCAAATCTGTGTGTTTTTAGATTTAAAACTGTGAGAGATATAATTTTAATTGATTTGCCACGCCTCTAATTGACATGTGGCACAAACCATAAAAGAATGCAAAAGAAATTCCGAGCTAAAGAGTTATTCCCAGAGCTATTTACTGATGCCTCGAATGACCTTAGCTTTATAAACTGTGACGTTGATCAGGGCGCATATAATACAATAATTATATTATATATTTAATATATATTTATTAATTATATCACACTAAATATTCAACTTGAAAAGGCGCTTCAGATACAAAAGATTTTATATACAAACATTTTAAAGCGATATTCGATGCTCTTTGATATTTGATTAAACAAAAACTCAGAAAGTGTTTCAGAAAACCAATATGCTCTGACATACGTGAACGAGTATAGTAATAAGCAGTAGAAGAAGAACAGCAACAAGAAGTTGCATGTCGGACTTATGTCAAAGTTAAACATAAATACAACAGACGAGCCGAAAGGTGAGATTATTGACGTCTCGGCATGGGCACGAGATACATCTTCAAGATGACAGCACGCACTACAAGTGGGAGCTTGTTATGCTAGGGTCCACACACACACACACACACACACACAGAGACAGATGTGGACACGCAGACGCATGTCGGATGGGTAAAATTAGCACAGCAGCTATCGATGGTTCGGGGGCGTAGGTTAAACGAAAAGATGACAGGTGTCAGATACAAGAGTATCTTGCAGATACACACAGCAGTCAAATGGCAGCAGCCGCTTTGAGAGCGCTTAAGATTTGAATGATGAGCAATTAGTCACGACAGCAACAACAACTACATATATGTGCATCTGTGCAGCAATAGATACAAAGATACAATTGCAGTTGCCACACTTTTGCAGAGGGCCAATGGCTTTGTTGGCCTAATGAATTTATGATTTCACTCCTTGTGTTTAATGGAAGGCCTTAGCAGCATCAGCATCCTCATCCTCATCTTCAACTTTATAGATCTGATTAGATACAAAAGTATCTTGTAGTTGCACAGCACTCAAAGTACAGCAGCTCTACTGCTAATAATACTTAAGAGGTGACTGCTGATCAGTCAAGCTAGTTAAGTAGAGGAAGAACAACAACTAAAGGCAGTCTCAATTGCATCTTCAGTTGCAGATACAAAGATACATTTGCATATGTCTCATATATCTTTTACTAAAAATGTATTTTGTGCTTCAATTTCATGTTGAGAACCTTCTTTATCATGTATTCTTCCATATTGCTGAACAGCCTGAGTTAGCCACGCCTTTCAGATACAAAAGTATCTATTAGATACAAATGCAAACAACAAACAAAGGGTAGCAGCAGCAGCCATAGGCCTTAGATATGAAAGCTGCATATGATGGGTAGCTGAACATGACAACAACAACAACGACTAACAGTAGATACAGTTACATTTTCACTCGTAAAGATACAAAGATACAAAGATGCAATTGCATTTGCCTAATGCATTTATTGGCTTAATTAATTTATGAGTTGCGCGATTTCATTTCTACGGCGAACTGATGATCATGAAGATCTTCAGTCACCGTCATCATCAACTTCATCACCGTCATCATCATCATCATCATCATCTGTGTGCCTCAGTCTGCGAATGCTGCCCGACAATAAATTCATTTATTTCATTTTATATAAAATTCGAAACGTTTTCTGCGTCCGAGTCTATTTTTCATTTTTGCCCCGCCCACCTCGCCGCCCTCGCCCGCTGCCTGAGCGAGCGCATATTTATTTGTATTTATTGGCATGCGATTTCATTTAACATTTTTTTTAGTTTTATTATTTATTTATTTTCATTTTTATAAAGTCAACATAAAGACGGAAAAACTGAGAAAAATATTTCTAATTTTCTGTTCGTTATGACAGAAATGTGCGCAGCCATAGAAAGGGGCAGCAAGATCTGTCGACACTTGGCTATATATCTATATGTCACACACACACACTCACACACACACACACAATTCCTTGGCGCGCGCTTTCATCATTTTCATTCTCATTTTCATTTTGATTTTGATTTCTTGCGAGATGCAAACGCTGTCCAAATATTTGCCAAAAAGCCACAAAATTTTATTATTTTCAGCGATAAATTTATATAAATTTTGTAATGCGGGTGAACATTTTTTTGCACATTTTATATAGATATGTGTGTGTGCGTGTGTAGAAATATACAGCAAAATGCATTTGTTGTTGTTGTCAAAGCGTGAAATAAATTTCAATAAGTCGATGAGTTTTGCTTTTCAGTCTATTGCGGTTGCTGTTTTTATTAAATGCGTACAAATTTTTACAATTGTTTATTACATATTTCGAATATTTATCATATAAAAGCAGAAAATACACATATATATACTTATTTAACGGAAAAAAAATTAAATTAGAATTAATTTTATATTAATTTGAAATTTTAATTATTTCAGTTTTGGATGAATCAGAAAAAATAAGAAAAGTATTTAAAATGGAGTTTTTTTGATACAGAACCTAACATAGTAGTTACCAATAGAAAGCAGCTTTTATATATATACATATGTGTGTGTGTGTGCGGGGTGTGTGTGTGTGCTGTGTACTTTGCATAGATTGTCCACTTTAGATTAAGCCATGAATAATTTATGTGCGTCTCTTATGATTTTAATTGTTTGCAATGGCAGCTTAACAACTCTTCCTTCGCCTTCCTTAGCCCGCTTCACCCTCCAACTCCCCCTCCCGCGCTCCTTTATTCTACCGTTTTCGCCCTGCTACAGCTTGGATGACTGGCCTTTATTATTCCTTTCGAACAAAAACAACAACAGCAAGCAGCAAAAAAAAAACATAAAAACGAAAGCTAAAGCAAAAACAAAGTAGCGCCCCAAAAGCAAATGCAAAACAATACAAATTCATCTACAAGGCCCAGAGCAACTTTATGTGTGTATGTATGTATCACTATGTGTGTATGTGCATGTGTGTGTGTGTTGTCCAGTTCCCCTTCGTGACACGCTCCGGCCACTTGGTCACTTGGCATTGGTCTGCTTTAGCTGCTGCTTCTTCTTCTTCTTCTTCTTTCGCTTTACACTGCTGTCCTGTCCTTCGTCTTTAGACACGCAGACATTTGCATTTCCCATACACACACACACACACATGCACAACGTCCATTGCTTGAACGGTGTGTGTGGCGCTTGTTCCGTTGCTCCTCTCCACTTCGTTTCGCTCTCTTCCTCTCTGTTCTCAACCTCCGACAGCACCCGCGGCGTCTGCTGCTCAACTGGTTGATTGCCCTCTGGCCCGTCGTAGCCCCTTCCGGCGCTGCGTCTGCACTTTAGAGTCGTCGTCGTTCCATTTGGTTTCTTTTTCTTTTCGAAAAAAAAAAAAAATTATATGAAAATTATACCAATTCAACTCATAAAATTTTTTCTGCAGCTTAATAAATTTGCAGACATTTTGTTCTTTGCTCTGCTCTGTGTCCGGTCGAAACTTCATTGGTCCGTTCCACTCATTGTATGCGCTCCAGTCTTTAGACTTTTAAATACTGCAAGTTATTGGAGCCCCCTTCCACTTCTCATGCTTATTTCCCAAGCATCGCCTTCTCTCTATCACGCCGCTCTCTCCCTTTCTCTCTGCCTGCTTTAACATATTTCAAACAAAGCTCATTAAATTTGGCGCAAACATTTCTTTTTTCTGCTCAGTTCTTATCGTATGCAATCTTCATGTAAGCAGTGAATATCGTATGAATATCGTGTGTGCATATTCCAGTCGAATATAGCTTCGATAATGCTGTCTAAGATATGTGTGTATTTTTAGGAGTTCAAATGTCTTTCGATAGTTGAAATACTAAATACTATTCTAGTATCTCATCGTATATATCGCATATGCACATTTAAGACTTTTTAAAGTTATAACATTAGTTCTTAGATTTATGAAGATAACTGTGAAGCGCTGTCTATTCAGCTTCGGCACATCACATGCGCTTATTGAAATCAATTCCAATGCTCGATTGGCTTGGAATAGCAAAGCTTAATCAATATCTCAATAGCAATCACTCAATCAATTGTTTATTTGGCTCTTCACATGCTCAGCTAAAATTTTCGGATGCAATCCGGATGTATGAAAGTACTCGTATCTCTGCTGTGTGCTGTGTGCTGTGTGCTGGGTGCGCCATCAATCAGTCAAGCAAATTGCATAGAATTTTGATCCATATCCGCTGTGAATGAAACAAATGTACCTGAGTTGCTTGTACATCCATAATTAACGTTTCTACCAAATGATTGACGGTTTGTTGTATCTCGCAGATTCAATATTTACGCATGCCCGCCAGCTAGTTGATCGAAGCGAGAGCAACTACATATTCATATGGGTATGTATGTATGTCTATGGAAAGATTTAGAGTTCCTCTCGAGTTGGGCGCTCTGCCGGACCACCTGCTGGGCAGGAAGCGTGAGTTTTTCGGGAGCAGCCACAGCACACGAATTGAAGTGAATGACAAATGTAAGGCAAGAGAGAAAAGCTTGCCAGCATCTCAGTGTCAAGTGATGACCGTTCGACACCGCCCAGATTGAAGGCGAAGCAATTGCGGAAGTTTTATGTTTTTAGCTGTGCGTAAATCGCTCAAGAAATCAGCTCAAGTGGAATAAGTTGTGGCTGGCCATTCAAGGGTTACTGACTTTCGCTCCAACTTCGGTCAACACTTTCGACTAGAGGTAGGTGCCCAAGCCAATCAGCCAACCACCCACAGCATCAAATCCCCTCGCTGCCCTTTCCATCCCTTTCCCCAGTCTCAGTATGGGAGGCTGTTGCTGCATTAAACAAATTGATTTCGGATGAGACCATTCGCCTGCGTCGGCATTGATGGAAATACTATACGATATGTTCGCCTCGACGATTTCAAGAGAGCGTCCAATCGATATAATGTATGTGCGTGGAGCATGTTGAGTACGAATTGTGGATAGCCAAACAATCTTTGTCGGAGGGGCGGTGGGTGTGGGGCACACCTTGTGTTTACCTTTGCCAATAAATTCACTTAATTGCCGGGAAATAATCATAAAGCAATCGAACGTAATACGAACGATACGTATAGCAACTCTATGCTCATGTGCGCATCGATTATTGTGAAATATTTGCTTTACTTTTCCTCTAGATGCTTGAGACTATTTGCGAACACATAGAATTATGTTGAAATCGATTCGCTGGACTATATGGGTCTATATACGTGTGGGAGACGGGGATTGCATAAGCTCTTTCTCAAATTATTATCAGAGACAAAGCACGCTTTGAATTTCAAGTCTCTGAATATAGAAAAAAGTGTTCTGTAACAGTCTCGAAAGTATTCGGCGTTCAAAGGAGTTCGATTACCCGTTTGACCGACATTTGCTCGACAAGTACTGAAACACATTTGAATGTGAGAAAAAAGGGCTTCTTAGCATTTCCGTATTATAAGAGACCCATAACGTAATCAGTGATATATATAGATATATGTAGAGAAATATATGTGTGTGCGTTGCCTATAGCTCGGACTAGGCGTGTGGGGAGCTGGCATCAAGTAAATTAGATATAGCCGGAATAAATCGAATGGGATCAAAACAAAGTTATGCTGAGTGATTCCAAGTAATATATCAATAAATTACCCAAGCCAATGGCTCATGCAAAACGCAAAAACGCGTTGAGGTTTTCAGTTTCAGTTTACAATAATTCACAATCCCAAGACACGGACACAGAAAGTCCACCAAAAAAAAAAAAAAAAGAAAAGAAAAAATATATAGATAGATAGATATGTATGGCCCGGCGTGGTGGTTAGGTAGGTTACAATTAAGTTATACGCCCCTAATAATATGCAATGCGTTCATTTATTCATCGCCTAAAGTTGCGACATGACGCTATTCATATATTCAAAAATTTATCATAAAGTCTGACCGGGTCGGAGCCTCCTTACGTGACGGCATAGGCATAGGCGTCGACGCCTAGCTCGTCGGTTATAGCAAATAATTTGCCAGGAATATGTGCGTAAATTTGTGTGCTCCCTTTATTTGACTCCAAAACTTTGTCGTTCCATCCACAGCAGCAGCCGCAGCAGCATCCACAGCCAGAGCCAGAGTCCCAGATAGAGATCGAATCAAGCAATTGTTGCGAGCCAAAGGAAGTGGAGCGTTCGGCATCGGCCGTTCCAGAGGAGAATGTGTTCAATATTTCGCAATCGCATTAATTACCGGAGCACAGGCACGCGCAGTGGCTCATCCAATGCAGGCAGCTCGTCGGTGGCCGATCCCACCAGCGACAGGGACAGTTTGCTAGCCAAGGAGCTCAGTGCGGATAGCAACAACAATGGCAGCGCGGCAGACGGAACGCCAGACGCAGAGATGGAGCTACAGCTCGAAGCGGAGCAGTCGCTGCCCTGCACGGATCAGCCGGAGAACAGCAATGAGGCGCTGGACTTGTCGGTAATCTCCGGCAGCCGTTTGCCCACGAGCGGGCATGTGGCACTAGAAGCTTTACAACATACCAAAGTGGCGGTGGCACAATTTGCGGCCACTGCGCTGGCGGGATCCGTGTCCGATCCAAACGATCTGGCCATGGTCCAGTCGACGATCTTCAATGTGCAGCGCCAGCACCTGATGCAGCTACAGCTCATCCAGCACCTACAGAGTCAATTGAAACGCGCGGGTGGCGTGGTAGCTGCGCTGAGCAGGCAAGGGCCCAACTATGCTGAGCCAGAAGAGGACGAGGATGAGGAGGAGGAGGAGCAGCCGGAACACTCGGACCAGCCACATCCCTCCAAAGAGCAGGCGCGAGTTAATGGCGAGGCAGCTCAGAGCGATCACGACAGGCTGCAGGAGAGTTCAAAGACTGAGGAACAGGACATGTGCAAGGAAGCGGAGGCAATAGCGACTGAGTGCAATAGGGAACGAGTTGTGGCATCGGCTAAGTCAGAAGGGGCGCGTGAGATGGAGGCTGAAGTCGAGCAGGAGCTGGAGTGTGACTACAAGCCGATTATGTGCGACATCAGCTCTAGTCTGGCCTCAAGTATAATCACCAATCACGACCCACCGCCGGCGCCCAATGAGCCCAACTGCCTCGAGATGCTCCAGCGCCGAACCGAGGAGGTGCTGGACTCGGCCTCGCAGAGCTTGCATGCGGCCCAAATGCAGGAGGAATACTCGGAGTACGCCTCAAAGGAGGCGCAGAGTCGCGGCGAGATCTTCAAGCATCGCTGCAAGTACTGTGGCAAGATCTTCGGCAGCTATTCGGCGCTGCAAATACACCTGCGTTCCCATACCGGCGAACGACCCTTCCACTGCAATGTCTGTGGCAGCAAGTTTACCACCAAAGGCAATCTGAAGGTGCACTATCAGCGCCATACGCAGATCTTTCCTCCCATGCTATTGCCGCCTGTGGTCAATGGGGCACAGCCCTCGGCGTCAGCCTCCGAGCAGTTCGGCTCTCTGGCACCCATACGCCTGCCCTTTGCAGCGCCAGCGCCTCTGGCACCACCGCCGCCGCCGATTGTGGGTCAGCTCAGTGGCGAGCACGCGGCATTAGAGCAGCAGCAAGCGTTGGCCATGCCCGGACAGCAACTGCAGCAAGCTGAGGATCTGAGCAAGCCAACCAGGGAGTTGGCGCATTCACCCATGCAACCCGCGCAGACACCCAAGTCCCTGCCCGAGCGTAGCAGAAGTCAAACTGCAACGGATGCTGCTCAGCCAGGGCTGGCTCTGGAGAAGGACAGTCCCAAGTCAACGACGCCACCAGCTGCAGTGGCGAGTCGTCGCAATGGCAGCGTGCGCAAGCGTCAGTCCAGCAATGGAGGTAGTTCGCCAGGTGAGGAGCGCGAGCAATCCGAGCATCTGCAGTTAGTCAAGCTCGTGCGTCGCTCTTCGGCCAGTCGCGACGGCGCTGTTGCTCTGCCAGGTGAGTACTCACTCGCTCAGATGGAGCGCATCATAGACAAGTCGTGGGAGGATCTGATCGAGATCGACAAGACATCGGAAACGTCAAAGCTGCAGCAGCTGGTGGACAACATTGAGAACAAGTTGACCGATCCGAATCAGTGCATTTTCTGCCAGAAGGTCATGTCCTGCCGGAGCTCTCTGCAGATGCACATACGCACCCACACGGGCGAGCGACCCTTCCGCTGCAAGATCTGCGGACGCGCCTTTGCCACCAAGGGCAACTTGAAGGCGCACATGAGCATACACAAGATTAAGCCGCCCATGCGCAGTCAGTTCAAGTGCCCCGTGTGCCACCAGAAGTTCTCCAACGGCATCATCCTGCAGCAGCACATTCGCATCCATACCATGGACGATGGAAGCGGCAATCAGGTGCATGGCCAGGGCCAGGGCCAGGGGCAAAGTCTTGGCGCTGGTGAGGCTGAACGCTTGGGCATTGAGGACCAGAACTCCAACAAGTCAATGGGTACCTCAGACACTCTGGACTTCTCGACAACCATTTCGGATCACTCCGGCCAGAGATCGGAGTCGTCGCAGGGAGGCGATTTCGATGAGTTCATGACCATGGACAGCACTGACGATTCCCGCGACAACTCGAGCGCGGCCACAGCTACACTTCTTGACAGAGACAGACGGCCGATGACGAGCCACGATGACGAGCGCTCCAGATCGGATCTGGATGGCGGTGGGCGTGAAAGCAACAGCGGCGAAATGCCCGCAATGGATCTTTCATCGCCGTCCTCGTCGTCAGCATCAGCCGCAGCGGCAGCGGCAGCCGCGGCTGCGGCGCGACTCTTCGGTGTCGGCAACACTGCGGCAGCAGGCGCTGCTGGTGCTGGAGCTTTGCCGATGCTCGGCATGCCCATGCCGCCGAATCTGTTACTGATGGCCGCGGCGCGCGAGGAGATGCATGCGCTAGGCCAGACGCATGCCAAGTTTCCATTGCTGCCCTTCGGACCGCTCGGCCTAATGGGTAAGTGCGCAGCCCTCGGCTGCCTGTTGCGAGATGACAAAGCTTCTTTGTCTGTCACCTTTGACCCAAGCGCTGTTTGCCATGAGGCAGTAGCTGTGCGATAAATCTCGCGTTCTTGCCGCGACATAACTCAATTGGACCAAGACAAAGCATTTACAGACACAGCCCCATCCGCAGCCCATTCGAGAATATATGTGCCACGTCTGCCTATGCCAAATTCCAAAATTTATTTATAAACTTTTCGCACATTTTCAATACCAATACATCGTGATCGGCGGCGGCAGGAGGCACTCTCAATGAATTACGCGCCGCTTCATGATCGCGCCGTCATTATGTCACAACATTTTTATACTGATTGAAATTTATTATATCGAATTTTCGGTTCCGTCGAGCAGCAGCAGCAGCAGCAGCAGCAGCAGCGGCAGCAGCAGCACGCGTCCAAAGTTATGTCGGCTTTCTGAGTAATTTGTTGTTTCCTTGTCCGTCTATCTTTAGGCTTGCAGCCGCCCCCAAATGTGTGCAACTTGTGCTTCAAGATGCTACCCAGCCTGGCCGCCTTGGAAAGCCATCTGCAGAGCGAACATGCCAAAGAAATGACGGCTCCTTCCGCCCGAGCCCACTGCAACGAAACTGTAACACCATACGGAGCAAAGGTAAGTACTCTTCCGCCATAACTAATATCGGCATATGAGTTGCCTGGACTAGCTGCTTAGAGAAATATGAAGCACACTCCTAACTTTATCTGCCTTTAATAATTTATGATCTTTATACCCTGCAGCCAATTGATAGTGTGTACAGGGTATACTGATTTACTTAGAATGTATAAAATAGCTAAGAGTAGGCGTGGCTAGGCCTTTAAAGTATATATATTTATGATGAGCAGTCGACTGTGCGTCCGTCCTATGTAAGACGTCCTACTCCTCGAGCATGTCTAGTTTATCTGAATTAGTGCAAAGCCTCAATACTTAAGCATCTAATCGACAGTAATAAAACTAGGCAGAGCTAGAATCACAGCACTTTGAATACAATGTGCAAAGACAAGGTTCAGGGTATTTCCTAGTCGAGTACTTCCGACTCGATCACGCTGTTTAGCTCAAAGCAAATGCAGCTCTAATGATGAGAACTAGTGCCAGCTGTGCACATAAGTTGCTTACTGCGAAATACCTCAAGCCTGGTCTTGGCATCATTAATGAAATTGCCATGGCTGAGGCAAGCCGAATATGGCCAGAAAGTGCGGAAACTGGGAAACTGGGAAACTGGGCTGGCTCCCGTTTAGGCAGGACCATACAAATTATGAGCTTATTATTAATTGCTCATCTCGCTCGTTGTTCACGACTTTGGCATTATTATGAAGAAATTGTGGCCAAGTGGCCATAGTTTGCCTTAATTGTTGGCGTTCCGCTCGGCGGCGGTCGCATCTAAAGCAGCAGAAGCATTGAGACTCGCATAGAACAGCAGCATTGCGCATGACTTAAAGCGCTGGGATTACACCACACAACAATGCCAATAATTTATTAAAGTGCGTTCGCCTTCGAAGCTAGTAGAAATACCGCAAAGACGGAGAGCCGGAGCGAGGGGAGCAGCAACTCAAGTAAGGTCTGCCCGTCCGTGTGTGCGTGTGTGCGTGTGTGCGTGTGTGCGTGTGTCTCTATGCCATGTGTCTGCCCATAACTTAAACACAAATGCAAGAATTAATATTTAAGAATGTTTTGTTCACATTTTCATGTTGTGTTGGTTCTGGCTGCTGGCATTGGCTATATGACTAATGACATCGTTCATTATATTTTAAATTCTTGGAGTAACTCCAAAGTTCTAAGCGAATATTTGAATACAGTGACGGATCTAAAGTTCATATAAATCAAAACAAAATCAAGCTGTTGAGCAGAGCAAGAGCGCACCTAAGCTGCTAGGCTCTTTTGGCCACATCCACTTGCCACTTACCCTTTTGCCTGTGGGCGCCTTTGCAACCTCGCTGCGCTCCTGTCGCTTGCGTTATTTTGGCTCAAATGCGAATGCGGTGTAAATGTCATAACATTTTCGAGTAGTAATCAGCCCTGTTAGGCTGCCTGGCCAGACTGTGTGTACTGAGTGTACTCCGTGCTTCGTTTTGGTCGCTTAACACATTGTTGATGATCTACGACAGACACGAGACAGAGCTGCGCATTATCTTTTTGGTTTGGTCTTGGAAATTTTTAAATGATTCAAAAATTGTAAGTAATTACGAGAATGCATTATGATGATGCGAAATTTACGAGTTGGTCTGGTCCCAGACAACTGCCAGCTGCCCTCGCCTTCGAATGTCAACGCGCGCCTCGCGTGCCGTCTCCCTGCAAATGGGTAAGGGAATGTGGAGCGGGGAGAGTGGGGGGCGCTTTGTGTGCCGGATCGGTGGCGGTGTGTGCGATGCATTCAATGCAAATAAATTATGTTACGCTTTATGCAAAATTATTTAATCTTTTGTTTGTCGCGCCTCGGTCGGCAGCGGCATCGGCATCGGCATCGGCATCGGCACCAGCCTCAGCATCAGATTCTGTGGGGCAGCTAGGGCTGGGTGTCAGCCGGCAGCCACCAGCCACCAGCCCCCAGGCAGCCAACGTCAACCAGAACGCGTCCACAAAAAACAATTGTTTTGCCATAAAAATATGAGACCCGGCGGTTTTGTCTGTGCGAGATAATTAGTTGGCATTATTGCACTCGTGCTGGCATAGAATAATTGTAAATTATGTTTTTGCCTCTCGGTGGCTTCTGCTCAAAATAAGATAATTAAGAATCGCGTCTGGCCCGAGCTTCTCGAAGTGAGATTTGAACGCCACATTAACGGGCAAATGCGAAGAAATTAGCGCCCCTTATTCAAAGTCCGAATATGTCTTTCAGCTCACTCTCAATCCCAATCTATTTGCCAAGAAGCCGAAGCTGCCGCAGCAGTCGCAGCAGTCGCAGCAGCCGCAGGAGTTGGCGCCAGCGGAGTCAGTCACGCCATCGGCGGCATCCATTAAAGAGGAGCCTGACTCCGACCAGCTGCTGGTCGATGAGGGTGGTTGCGACAGTGGTGCAGCTCCAGCAGCTACTGGCTATCAGCACGAGGCAGCCGGCGATGCGGAGCAGTCGCTGATGAAGATGCAGTTGCGTAAGTGATATCTCCTGAGCTCCGTCGCCCAACACTTCCATTCAATTGGCGCTGATCACATTCGCAGATGCTCATCGTTTTCCAGCTAGTCCGCTGGACTTTCAGCAGGCCTTGATGTCAGCCGGTCCACCCAGCTCCAGTCTAGATCCGCCGGTGAACAACAAGCACTTCTGCCACGTCTGCCGGCGCAACTTCAGCTCGAGCTCAGCTCTGCAGATTCACATGCGCACGCACACCGGAGACAAGCCCTTCCAGTGCAACGTCTGTCAAAAGGCCTTCACCACTAAGGGCAACCTGAAGGTGCATTAAAGCTGGAGTGTTTTCGAATCACTGGAGCTTATATTGTCTTTTCTGTCTGCCTGTTCGTTTTCTCTCTGTAGGTTCATATGGGCACGCACATGTGGACGAATCCTACATCTCGTCGTGGCCGGCGAATGTCCTTGGAACTGCCAATGCGCCCCGCACCTGGCCCGGGCACGGCACACGGCGCGCCCTCGGCTGAGCAGGAGTTCATGCAACGTCGACCGGAACTCTTTTTTCCTTACTTGCCACCTTTCTTCAACGGAATTCCGCCTAAGGTAGGTCCTCAACTACTTTAAGATCTATGAACATCTGCTTGAGCCTTGCCCTTTTGCTAATGACAACTCTCCATAAGCTCTCAGATAATATAGATAGGTTAACCTAAAGTGAAATTCTTTACATTGTCATTTCTCTTCAAAATGAATCTCTATATTAGCCTGGAGAATTGAGTCCTGGGGCATTTGCCAACATACCTCCGCCGCACTTTGCAAACGGAGCTAAATATCCGTATCCGCCTGGTCTGCTGGGCTTTCCCGGTTTCTTGGGTGGTGCTGGAGCTCATCACCAATATTCGCATGGCGTGGAGAGAAGCAGCAGCAAGTCTCCCACACCGGAGCCGGCGCAGAGTCCTGCCTCCCGGGAGGACGACGGAGCTCTAAGCAGCAACATTTGGCATCCGCTGAACAGCATCAAGATGGAGAATAATCAAAACGAGAATATTGGCAATCAGAGCGAACTGGAGCAGGAGGACAATGGTGCTGCAGATGCGGATGCTGAACCAGAAGCAGAGCCTGCAGCTGCGCCTGCGGCTGGAGCTGGAGCTGGAGCTGACGAATCGGGTTCCCAGGGCTGCGAGAAGTAGCTGTAATATATTTAGTTTTACAGCCGTTTGGAATACACATGGTTTTTTGTGGAGTACATATCTTGAGCATAACACTACGCTAAGCTTGATCTAGCACACATATATACGAATATATCCTCTGTGTCTATATATATATACATGCATATATATATATATTTAAACTAAAGTACGAGTAATTGATGGCGATTTTGAGGCATTTAAATGCATTAAGTATAGCAATAAGTTGTATAAACTGCAAAACGTGAGCAAAAACAAATCAGATTCGACACACTCACACACAGCCACACACACACACATGCACATACACATACACAATTAACTTTATGGCTACACACATTAAACATTAAACAAATACCAATACAAATACAAAAAGTAGATACACCTAATGTAAACTGTGGTAGTTGCATATAAAAGCGAAATCGAAAATCGAATGATCAAAAATAAAGTCGTGCGTGCAAATTGCAAAATTCAAATGACGTTTTTTCATTCAGCAATATAAATATATATATATATAAATATATATATATATATATATATATATATATAAATATATATATATTAATATAATTATACTGCTATATATTGGGTACAACTTGGGCTTTCTCTGTTACTTCAAATATTTGAATTACAACTTTTTCTTGAGCTTCACTTTTCGCATTTGAGTATTTAATTTAATTTAATTTATTCTTAGACTTGTTGAAAACATATTTGAATTATTAACGCATGTCTAATAAATATATGTTTCGTATCTTGTTAATTAAATTTTTGTCATTTTTTGGCAAACGCCTTTGGCCCACGTCGTAACAAATTATAATTTCTAGACCGCAACAAGTTAATGTCGCTGCCAATTATAATTCGCCTTTTATTTTTGAATATGACAAGTGGCAAGTGCCACAAATATTGTGAGTGGAACAAAAAGCAAAAGCAAGTGTCTCGCTATAGTCAACTCTATGGCATTATACTACGGACAACAGGTTACGTGTGCGCTCGTCGGGAGTGCCCGATTGTTAAATACCATTACCAGCTCACAGAGCTGTGCTTTTTAATTCCTTAACTCTAATATACTGAAATGTTTATATATGAATGACCAAACACCAAGACAGACCCCTTTTATTTTACAAAAAAAATGTCTTGGTGTTTGGTTATTCTTTTTTTCTTTTCAATTTTTAAGGTCTCATCAAAATTTTTATATTGAGTTTCCACATTTGTTGCACGTAGCTTAGCTCGTTTTCTTGACCAAGAGTTAATATTATTGGTGCCACGCCCTTGCACAAGAACATTGCATTTCCCTCTGGCCGCCTTCAATTGGGTTCAGGAACATCAGAATAATAGCTAACTTAGCTGAGTTATGGAGCGAGTAGTCTTCTCTGTTTATAGTTTCGTAGCATGCAAAAGATTATTTCGACTATTATAAACACCTCTGCATGCAGCATTTCTCATGCAGTTTGCAATTTCCCATTTTCCACAATGTTGCGCTTTTCCAAAGAAATTTTAGTCATTTCACGGACGCACATATTTCATATGCGGCTTTTGCACGGCCACTGTTAGCAGACCGGGCCGTAAAGTGCCAGACTATGTCCACAGTTGGTAGGCGGGCGGACGGGGAGGGGCTGCTCGCAAGGGCAATGCTGACATGGCAGAGAACTATTATCAGTCCCCTAGACTATAATGTGCCAAATGCAAGCTATTAAATCGCAACAGAATGGGGAATGGGGAATGGGGAATGGGGAATGTGGAGTGGGGAATGGCGAATGGCTAGAAGCTGCCTGCCTGAGTTGCCTCCTGCATCGAAATGAGCGATGAGAAATTGTGACATGTCTGGAGCACACGCAGGCGGGGATTTCAAGATCACGATTTGCGGAGAGAGCATATGACGCATACATATAGCGCTGTGGCTCTGCTAGACTCTCGATTTCATAACCTGATTTCCTTCGTTTACCCAGTTCCGTCAAGTGGCCCGACGTCGTGCTCTATGTACGATTCATATTTATGTTGCATGCAATTTGTTTGATCTCAACGAGTAATTAAATTTTCGTCTGCATATGCGAAATTATGAGAGACGACTGCCACATAAATAAAAGTCCCGGCAGCTAGTGTCGGGGCAACTTTGAAGTGTGCCTAATTGAGTGTGAGTATTCGAGCTGGCGCTAAGAGCAACAATTTCGAAGTACTTGGAGCCGTTAGCATAGAGTAGTGAAGCCACCATAGACTCTGCGGTTTTATCGCCCACCTTTGGCAATGGCCATCGAAATGGTAAATAAAAATGGAAATGGGAGCAAACGCAACATGCGGCCATCGTGTTGCGCGTTTAATGGCACCCACAAATTCCGTGCTAATTGTTGCACCGGCAACTGGTTTGCAGCAGCAGCATCGGCCAGCGCCCAGCTCTCAGCATCCATTGCCCATTGCCATGGCCATATCCGTATTCCAAGATCGCCAAGTCGCTGCCGTTGCCTGCAAGAGTTCGAGTAGTTTGCTTCAATTTTGCCTCAATTATTTCGCTTGTTTGTTTATGGTGGAATCTTTAATCTCTAGAGCTAGTGTCGCTGACAACCTTGACGTTGTCGGCGCGTTGCGGCATGCTCCTACAACTTTAGCAGCAGCGGCTTCTGCAGTTGCCGCATGCGTGGCCACGATCTAGACAACACCTTGCCGGGCTGAGAGCCCAGCGGCAGTCTTTCTATATATCTACATATGATCATCGCACTCGCATCTGCAGTCCCAGTCCCAGTTCCAGTCGCAGCCCTAAGACCTGGCGGCGCAAGTGTTCTCAAAAAAATTGATTATTTATGTTTGGTTTCTTGGATATTGATGGCAGATTCTTTAATAAAATATTGCTCAAATGCTTTTTTGCTATTATCAACTTGTTTTTCTATATCTTAAATATATATACTACTTAAACTGAATACCAAAAATTTATATATACACATATTAAGCAATATCTACAGAGAAATAGTCCTAGTCCATATATTTGCAGTTTGTGCTCAGCTCTGCTGACTGCAAAAATAAAATATTTCTCGACTTCGCTACTCACTTTTATCAACAATATTATATATATTGAATTCAAAATATATATATATATAATTCATAGCAGGCACTCGACACTACACGAAGTTGAACTAGATCCCCTCTTAGTTGTTGCAAGGCCACGCAAGCGTCGATAAGGCAAGTGATCGCATGGCATGCGAAATAAGTTTGGCTTATTGCACAATGCACGTGACTGCAACATCTTCTGCACATGCCAAGCCAAGGCTTGCCTCTCTCCTCTGCCTCGCTGTGCCGCTGCTCGGGCTAAACAAGTTGCCTGCTAGGCTGCTGTTGGCTTGCATTTTGTTTGGCCGCGCTACGGCGGCAGTTGGTTGAAAGCGGAAGCGATAACGTTTAACAAATTAAGCCATGTCCTGCCAAGCAGCCCGCAGAAGACTTTATTAGTCGAGGCTCAAGTTGAAGTTGAAGTTGAAGTTGAAGTAAGCTGCAAGTCGATTGCAAAACACAATTTCGATATTGTATTCCAATCAGCCAAGCACATAAAACCAACTGGCATCAATAAAGGTCAAAGTCAAGTGGGAAAGGCAATGGCTTCGGCTTAGATTGAACTGTACTGGATCTGCAGGGCATTTGTTGTCCAGTAAGTGCTAAATTATTACAAAGAGAAAAATATTTTTGCTCGAATCACGCTTGGGACTTGCTAGATATTACTCGAGAGTCCCAAAAGTGTTTCCATATTCAATGTTCAATATTGGGCGGACAGAGGGTTGAGTTTTATGACAATGCTCGACAAGTTTATGCGACCCCGAGCAACGCTGCCCCAGCACAGCCATAAAGACAACCTTGCAACGAATTCAGTACATTCAAGGTGTGTGGAGGCTGTGTGGCAGCAGTGGCAGTGGCAGTGGCATTTAATGGCAATAATAAAGTGGCATAACATTCAACACTTACTCAGTGGCTTTCTCGGTGTCTGGCCGCATTTATCATACGCCCCGGCGGCCCTGCAGACGACAGATTATTTTGACAAGTTATCAAAATGAAATGTAGCCAACAAGTTGCTCAGACAGACGGCAGCCACACAGCCAAACAGGCAACACGTCGCGCCGTCGTCTGTCAGCCAGTTCCAGCCAGACTCTACTTGCACAGCCTCCTCCACCCACTTCCAGCAGCCTGTCATAATATAAACGCGCCCCTAGTTTTCTCTCAACTCGTAGTGCTTGGCAGCAGCAGCAGCAGTAGCAGCAGCAGCAGACACTCGGCAGACGACAAGTATATTTATGTTATGATTTGAATACCGCTAATGACAGCTTGGCTGCCACATATTGGGTGGCATGTTGCAGCTCAGATGCATCTAAAATTGTGGCAACACAGAATGATAGACAGAAAGAGAGAGAGAGAGAGACGCAGAGAGAGAAGGCAAGATTAAGAGAGCAGTTTTTCAGCGCCTTCATTAATCTAAGGCTTTGTTGTAGGTATTTTCACACCTGATGGGCTAATCATTTTTCACCAAATTATATAAATTGATTTCAACCCAAAATTCTTCAGTCTGCAGCATAGGCAGAGGCTCATTATTACAAATGATGGTTTACATAGAAGCCACAAGCATTTTCTACTTCTTCTTAAAAATCAGATTCGGTGGTGCAGTGGTGCACTGGTGCACATACTCAGATGCCACTATATTATCAGGCTTTATAAGATGATTGCAGCAAGTACATAAGACACAATGCGTTTAAATATAGACGGCAAATGTTTATGAGCAGCGCAACTGTCTGTCTTCTTGAACAAGTAAGAGGGTTCTGGTAGGAAGTGATCGACTAGAAAGTACCCTACACCCTATCAATAAATGTCGATATTTATGTATATATAATTTAATGTGATAATATATTTTAATAGGTAGCAGTGATCGACTAGAAAGTACCCTACACCCTATCAATAAATATCGATATTTATGTATATATATTTTAATGTGATAATATATTTTAATAGGTAGTAGTGATCGACTAAAAAGTACCCTACACCCTATCAATAAATGTCGATATTTATGTATATATATTTTAATAATAATATATACAGGGTACACATATATATATATATACTCTTTATACTACGTAACCTACGATATCGCCATATTCGACTCAGTTTGTCATACCGATCAAGCTCATTATATACTAAATGGGTTCGGCTTACCTACCTCTGTCTGCTGCTCACATTTAAAGCAGCCCAATATACTCGGTTAGCCGCTCTTCAATTGATACAGGGTATTAAAAGAATGCTCCCATATAGAAAAGTTGCCAGCATGTTGAAGTGGAGTAGATATTTATGTACAGTCAGATATTTATGTATATGCATATTCAGTCTTAGGAAGAATTCCCTCTTTCCACTCACTCTAGGGTAGCTAACTATTGGCTTCGTGCTTTCAGTGTGACCTAGAAGGCCTACAAGGCCGCCAACAAAATGATTTG